AATTAATATAAAAAGAAAAAGAAGCAAAAACCTTGTCGATGTATTAATCCTCCATGCATAATTCTCGCCACCTGACATCGACCATCTTCCGTTACCTAAACACTAACATTTGATAAATTTATAAAAAATTATTTTCTCTATTACAAAGCATATTCAATTTCATTCAAAACAAAAATAAAAGAAAAAAAAAAGAATTGCAAGAAAATCAAACAGTATATGAAATACATTACATCATCAATATGGTGAAACATTTACCTTTAAAGTAATTCCCATTGGTTCTTCGGTATCTTTCTGAAATTGCACCAAACGTACTCGACTAACGGAATCCATCATTAGATCGTCATCATCATCAAGCAACGGTAGCATAAATGATTGCGATAAATCATTTGATGTTGCACCAAATGATGGTGTAACGGTGTGAGGTGTTTGCGGTCGTAATATACCACCATTAAGATATGAAAATGGTAATTGTGATGAAGTTGATGCCTATAAAATTGATTTTTAGTTAAATTTTCTTTTCAAAATTATTAAATAAATTTAACTTAACTATAACATTTCTAAAGTTGAATAATACAAATGAGAAAAGAAATCGTTGAAATAACTATCAATATTACTAATTGATATGTATGTTATAATTAAACTAAATTCATATCAAACAAATATCAAATATTATAGATAAATTAAATTCATATCAAATTAAATATCAATATTACAGTTATCAAATATTAACATTATAGTTAAATCAAATCAAATAAATATCAATATTATAGCTAAATCAAATTTATATGAAACAAATATCAATATTATAGTTAAATTAAATTCAGCAAAATATCATCACTATGAAATATTCGATACGATACTAAAACTTCTTTTTTCCTATTAGATAGATAATAAAATTTAATTCATACTTTCGTATATTTTTTGGAGAAAAAAAAAAAAAAAACAAACCTGAACAGACATTTGTGGAAGGGTATTTTGTTTTTGATTGACTGTATTTGTGTTACCATTACAATTGCTACGAGCACTACCCTCATAAATTTCATGAATTATCACATCGTATGCTTGCAAGACTGCCTTTAAAAAAAAAAAAAAAAAAGTTGATTTAATTTCAATAAAAAATTTCATCAATCATTAAAAACAAATCTGAAAATTCGAGAAATTCCTCAAAATTTTGCTTTATTTTTTTCAGCAAATATACGAAACAATTTGAAGTTTTATACGATTTTGTTTTATTAAACTTCAAGATTATAAACAAATTTTAATAATAAACTATTGGAAAGCTTATTAAATGAGAAGAGTGAAAATAAAAATAAAATATGAATTTTATTAATCAAATAAAAATTTAAACCTGAATTTCGTGTGATTCAAGTAATTTTCGTAATTCTTTTGCTTCAGCTGATGGTTGCAAAAATCCGCTGATTTGCATGCATAGCTAAAAAAAAAAACAAACATATCTATTAATTATAAAAATATTTTGAAACAAAAGTTTCGCAAAGATTGAAGAACTTTAAGAAAATAAAATCAAAATTCAAGATCAAATGAATAGTGCAATTAAATATTTAAAAAAAAAAAAAAACATCTGAAATCTCAAAATAATCAAACCTCTCTAGAATATTTAGCAGAATCATGATCAAATACTAATGGTTGAATCGATAGATTTGATATTCGATCATATAACTGTAAAATTGTAATTTATTACTATTTTTATTTAACAATTGATATGTAAATTAAAATTAGTTTTTTGATAGTTAAAAGTTAGTGTAACGCTCTTGTTAAATTAAAACCTTTATTGCATAATTATTAAAAATAAAACGAAAGTGCTAAAAAAATTGATCATTTCTACGTAATTCTATTCTATTTGCTTGTCAATTATTTAAATTAAACGTATTATTTGAAAATTAACCGTAAAGGAATTAAATTTGTATTTGAGCTGAAGATGAAATAAATTTGATTTAAATTCAGAGACTTCCTCAAATCACTGCGTATTCACTCAAATCAAAAATTGTATCTGTGCATTAGCTAATTAAATATTTGGGAATTATTTAAATTGATTAAAGAAAGACAAAATGTCAGTTTATTCGAAAAATAGTTAACATTATTCATGATTAATTGATAATCTAACTTTTTTATTACAAGTAACAAATAATCACAAATCACAACAAAATAACTCATTAAATATTCGAAATGTTCAAAAAAACAGTAATAGGAAAATTTGATGCAAAAAAAAATTCTCGATATATTAATGAATTGTTCACTTATTTATTTGTTGAAAAAATTAATCAATCTTTAATAAAATCATCAAAAAATCACTAACTGTAAGATGGAAAGGAACATAGACCGAGAAATACTGGTAAAATATGGAAATAGTGTTGCAAAAAAACATTTCTTTAATCCTATTAAAATTTTATTAAATTAATCTGAAAAAGTTTTCCAAAGTTAATAGTACTCTAAAAATTTATTTAAATACTCTTTTGTCAATTTCTTTCGTTTTCTTGAAAAAGACAAAAATTTTAGGGAAAGATAAATTTCTTAGCTTATGATTAAATTAAACTATTACAAACAATCGTCATTTGCAGTCAAAAAATAAGACTGATTGTTGGATTGAAATTTTATAAAATAAAATACTCAGAACAAAATCAAATGATAAATATCCGGTGAATAATTAATTTTAACTTTTCAAATGCTATTTGAACTAGCATTTAAAAAGTTTTTTTTTTTTTCAATATGTTTTGAAATTATTATTGCAATACAAATTTTGATCACTGATTGAAGCCGTACAAATAACACAAAGGAAAAATAATAGCACGAATGATCCAATCAGAAGTAAGAGTAATAGAAATTGAAATATAATCGAATCCATTCAAATTTATACCTTTCGATAAAGCAACCATAAAAATACATTTGTGAAATTCATTAGAGTTTTATGTTTAATCAAAAATATCACAATTAATTCAAAAGTAATTTAATAAAAATGATAACATTTTAAATAACAATCATTTTCTCTTTCAGTAGCAGTGATAACATTTTGATGATACCAAATAAATTTGACAATCATTTCTTTTTTTCATTTACAGTGATAAAAATTGATAATGAAAGGATAAATGAACAATAAGATGGATGGAATATTTTACTTTGCCATACAAATTCGTTCCTCATTTAATACACCTTAAAAGAAATAGTGGTAGTTAAAAAGAAAATAATAGCTTTTATGAGTGTGCTTGAGAAGATAAAGAAGCTTATACTTAATAGATTTTAGTGAAGAAATTGAAAGGAAAAAATTTCTGAAAGAATTGGTTCTTTTTTTTTTCAATAAAAGCAAAATGATGTGACAATAAAATGATATGATAACAAAAATGTATTATTTATTTTGATTCTGCGAAAAAAAAAATGATGCAATAAATCACGTAGAAAGAGAAATGATAAAATAAAACATATGAAGTATCGTTGTGGAACAAAATATAAAGTAATGGATAGGTGGAAAAAAAAAAAATGGAAAAATTCAATATTCAATACTCCTCAATATTCATCATTCAGTTCAGACAATGATATCAAATTAATTTGACAGTGATATGATAACAGAAAGCACAATCAGTATCATTTTTTTTTTCGAAAAAATATCAATAAAAGTGAGTATCAGGAAAATTGATTGCTAGGAATGATATTGAAAATCTGATTAATAAGAAAAATGTATAAAATTTTTTGAAAAAAAATTTTTCAAATTTTATCATTAATTGACTATGATAGAGGTTGAAATTTCAATTTACATTTATTAATTAATTATCGATCGATTGAAATAATATACACATAAGAAGCAACAATCAAATTATAGTGATAAATTTAAGTTACGCATTTTATTGCAAATTATTTATTCAAGTATTGATCTATTTTCTGAAAATATTTAAAAAAATGAATAAAAAAGAGAAGGAAATAGTTGACGAAAAAAAATTACTTGTAAGTAATAATTAATTACAATTCTGTTGTAAAATTGCAATGAACAATACTTCACTTTTTTAAAAAAATAAAAAGGACCGGAAATCTTCCGTTTCTACTTAAATCAATTCATTAGTATAATTGTGAATGGAAATTAACATAATTTCATATACGATTGCAATTTCAATTTCATTTAAATATTATTTAAAATATTAATTCTATTCATCCGTAACGTTAATACATACATGCAAATTTCATCAAAATTAATTCAAATTTTATTTAGTACTCAAGTAATCATTGCAGATCTTTTTTCAGCATATCAAATTTCAGATTTATTTCGTCTAATAAAAATTTTCTTTGTAATTTCACTAAAAAAAAAAAAAATAAAAACCATATGATATGGTAACTTTCGAATTAGATGAAATTCTACACTAATGGGGTCATAAGAAATTTACATATATCGATTTTTTCGTGATATCCCAATTTCTAAACAATCTATAAAAATTAATAGTACAAATAGTAAACAACAATAAAAAATTTGTTGAAATTTGTTGAATGTATAACACCTTCGATGACGCAAAGGTAAATTCATTGCTCAAAACTATTTTTAAATTATCAATAAAGAAAAACTGACTGATAGGAATGTTGAAAATTTGATTGATAGTAAATGTACAAAATTTTTAGTTCATTTTCAAAAATCACGTGCAATTAATTATTCTCAGGATTGTTTGGCTCAATGTAACGTGTGACAACTGCACCGAGTATAGTGATATTAAGTGAGGAAAGTGGAAAAGTTGGAAAAATTATAGTTCGATTAAAGATAGTAAAAGCTTTAAGTTCTCATTGGAAGAAACGAATAAAAAGCATTCAATCGATAGTTTTGAATCAAAAATTTAAAATGCAACTGATTTTAATTTTTAATAATTTCTATTCAAAAGTTTTTGCAACGAAAAAAGCTTATCTTGTTAGGTCTATTAAAAAAACATCGTTTCTTTTCAAATTTCTTAAGAAATTTTAATATCGCTCATTTATTTCAAATAAATAAAGATAGGACGATAAAATAATTAAAAACAGAAGGCCTTAAATTTTTTTTTTTATTTCTTTGTCTTCCTATCAAAATTACTTCTTTCAAATGTTAAAAAAAAATATTAAGTGATGATGTAAAATATTGAATGCATAGATCATGCAATAAAAATTTTCATAAAAGAGAACGAAAAAAAAACAACAAAAGATCAGGTGGAAAGAATCGGTTATGTCTTTAACTTCTGAACTGAATATCTATTTTCTATTTTCCACAAAATATTATCAGTTCAAAAAAAAAAAAAATTAGAAACTGTTGAGGTCTTTTAGTTGGTGAATTGAAATTTTATTCTATTTGCGTATTTCAAAATATCGAAAAATTTTTAAGAAAATTTGAATGTAATTTTTTCGCTTTTCTCTCAAATATCATATTAGTTGAGAAACTTTTTCAAAATAAAAATAATCAACATGTTTTCTCTCTCTCTCTCTCTTTTTCTCCCTCTGCCTCTCTCTCTGTCTATAGAATTCTCCCAAAAAGGTTCTCTTTTAGCTTTTCTGAAATAAAACACTAATAGTTTCGTCGTTT